GTTGTTTTATTCCCTTCACTCATTCCTACCTCTGTTCCCCCCCTTCTTTTCTTCAAGAATGGGTTTCCTGCCAGCCGCCTCACTGCCTTTTGTTGCAAAAAAACACACACACACAAAAAGTCATAAAAAAGACATTTTTCACCTCTCTTTTTCCTTCCCTTTTCCTCTTCACATCGGACATAGATTTATTCCCCTTTCCCACAGCCGGCGGGCGCTCCGAGCCGGGAGGGGTGAGGCGAGGCATAGAGGGCACCGTCATAGATAATATGGCAACTCCCGGGAGCTTGTCCGGATCCGCAGCCTATTCATCAGCCGCCGGCTCTCGTGCCAAGGTCAGCGCTAACGAGGCTGCCGTTAGGGTCCCCCGGCGGTCCCCATGGGGGCCCCCTCCAATCGGATCGCTCGGATCCGTGCTCCCCGCCTTTGATCTTTACAAGGGTTGCTGGCACAAACTAGAATTTGCAGCCGAGAGAATTTGTCCTGCGAATTCAACGACTCCGAAGCAGAGCGTACGACTGAAGGTTTGCACTCGTCCAGCCATCCAACATTCCCACAAGGCTCCAATAGTTGCTGAGAGAGAGAGAAAGAAAGAGAGAGGAATGCACACCGATGCCTGGAATATCTGCAAAAAAAATTAGATTCCATTTACGAACCAACTATCTCAGAGCTTTTACACAAGGAGCGTTTGTTCCCCCACAACGGTATCTGTCCTGTGCCATGTTGTTAACACAACATGTCGCAGGATGCTGGGTGTGGAAGGAGCAATCAAGAGCTGTTGATCTTACCAAAGACCCGCTCTCCGTGGAGAGAAAATTGCCCAAACTAGTTTGCAGGTATGGTTGGACGAACTCAGCGTCTGCTTTTCCTACTTCAGGAATTCTCTCTTCTCTTTCTCTTTGTAACATACGGTTCGGTCATGAGTTTCCCTGGATTCACGTAGAAAGCAAAGCAAATTGTCCTGCTTAGATGCCACCCCATAATGCTTAAAGCACTCTCTGGGTGGTTTATAATTTAAATATGCAGGCGACACAATATGCAGGAGAGCTGAGTGAAAGCACTCTCTGGGTGATTTATAATTTAAATATGCAGGCAACACATCGTGCTTCCTGCACCGGACAGCTGAGTGCTCAATTTATCAATCTCAGAAGGATGGAAGGCTGAATCAATCCGGATCAGGTCCGGTCAGGCAAGCAGAGTCTTGACTGCAATACTGCAGTTAAACCACTTTGCCACGAAGCCCCATGGAGAGGCGAGTTCACGCTGGACGGCTTTTGCATCCTCACAAAGAGCGATTTATGTATTTATCTTTTATTTCTCACTGCATGCTAGCACTCAGGGTGGCGTACCGTCTTTGTAAAATACTAAAAGCAAGGAAAACCCAGTGTTTAGCCAAGAAACCATAAAAGCAAGTTTAAAAAACAACACTGTAAAAACCATCTAAGTCAACGGAGTGCACAGTTAAAAACAACATAGCATGGGAAGTTAAGCATCAAGTACTCCTTCTAAAAGATACGTTTTTGCATCCTTCTTAGAAGGACTTATAATGGGACTGGACCGCTGAACCTGTGGTTTCAAGAGATCCTCTTCTGAAGATTTTTAGCATCTGAATGGGCTCATAAGGGGACAGGTGGTTCCCTCGGATAGTCAGGTTCCGTTATATTTTGGTATGTCTCTGGCTGTGAAGCCAGAGGTTCAGAGTTCGATTCTCCTACTCTGCCTCCCGGAAGAAGAGCCAGCCTGGGTAGCCTTGGGCAAGCTGCACAGTCCCAAGGCTGCCTCCTAGAGGGAAGAAATGGTAAAGCGCTTCAGAGTCTTCTCTCCCTGGAAGACCCTAAAAAGACTCAGCATAAACATTGACTACTCTTACATAACAGATCCACGTTTTAACCCAAAACCTAAGTATTTGTTAAATATCGGCGCATTGTGATGCCAATTTTTTTGTGGTTCTGATGGTGTTATTTCTGAAATCTGCAGCTGCTTATAATACAGCGTGCCATTTCTTCAT